TTATTGATCATCTTAGCTTGGATCTGCCCAGTCTGAATCTATTCTAAGACACAGTTTCATGTGGTGCAAATTTGGTTAGTTAGCCTTCTTGTATAGTTTTGCATAAGTCATTCCTTGACTGATTCTACAGACAAATTTCTTGCTAAAATTCAGACTTCACTTTCCTACAGTGCGGCCCCCGTATATGCACACGCAACCGGGTTCGTGAAAAGATTTGTTTTCATTATGCAAAAGGGACACCTCATTTCAATAATATCCCTTACTAGGCAAATGAGACAACCCATTATAAAGATTGAATTGGTGATAGAAGGAGGTGGTGACTGACAGAATGCATTTGAGTTAATAAGCGAGAGCCGGTGTGCTGTGGAGTTGATATCGCCCCCTCCAGATGTCGATGTTTCTTGAATGACAACACAAAGCTAATAAGTCTCACCGGGAACATTATAATAACTGGCAATGGCGCTGCCTAAGCCCGCAAAGTCCAGAGGAGTAGTTGAATTCAGGACAACCCATAAAAATCTGGCTTTATCTGTCCATCGTGACCTCATTAGAAAGCCCTTGTAAACACTGAAGATTCCTTATCACCTGCTGTTTATCACGGCTGGGACCGAACTTATTACTATTACTAGAATTACTTTTATCAATTTTCGGGGGTAATTGTAAAGTTTCTGCCTCAAATAGAAATTTATATATATATATATATATATATATATATATATATATATATATATATTAGTATTTTCTGGACTACTATGCCGACCTGTATATAAGCCTGATCCAATTAAAATAAACTAACTGTTGTCCACTTGAATATAAGCCACAGATTTTCATGTTGTAATGTAGTGCTTAGCTGAGAGACGCCAAACAAAGCAGATAGACACAAGTTTTAACTAGTTAAAACATTATTTTAATGATGAGGTGCTTAACAGCTTAACCGTTAAGTAAACTTTATTTATACAGCGCCTTTCACAGACAAAGAGTCAAAAAGCGCTTGCAAATTGTTGTGGGAATTTGTCCTCTCACTTCACACACAGTGATGGAAATGGGATTGTCATACAAGAGGTGCTTGTTAGCCTCCATGATGGTACTCATTTACCTTCATCTATTTTGACAACAAACAATTGTCCTAGAGCTGCTAAAACTTATTAGTCATATCAAGAGTCCATAAACTGACAACAGCCCAATTGTACCACATTAAATAAAACACATATTAAGGCTTAAGTCTCTTAGCAAGACAAAGTGTGTAAAGAAGTTAGTACTGCTTAATTACCTGACATGTAAAAACATAAGGAGACATACTGAACTTTTCACATTTAAAACACATATAAGCCGCATCGCTAAATAAGCCCCAGAAAACAAGAAAAAATTGTGCAGAACAGTAATCAGAGAGTCAGGCAAATGCATTCAACAAAATATAATGATAGGTCTTGATTTTGGGCCAAAGCAGAAGGAAAAAAGGCAATTTGCTTGAACAGTTCCCAAGTACCAGGTCCTGCGGCAATGCCCCCTCATGGTAATTTCCATTGACTTAATCTGAATAAAAACATTAGTGAATAATGCACTCTTTATTCAAACAGACTGGTGCTTTGGGCAAGTACAACAATTAATTTCAATTCCAGTCAAGGTTAGCCTGCAGCCGTGTCACTTCGCGGCTCTCCTCCCAACTGTGTCCAAAAGGGGATAAAAAAAGTAAGGACTAGTTTAATTAAAAGTGGTGGGGCAGCCTTGCATACAGATTCCTAAGCATTTTCACTTTGGTGCGACCACGGAAAATTACATTTATTTGAGTCTGCGGCAGATATGCTTACATACTGTCGGTGTGGGTATTGTTCCAGGTGCTCTCTGTAACCCAAGTTTTTCTCTGTTGGAGCTTGGCAACCGGAGCAGAAAGAAGATTTAACACGCAGGTTTTTCATGCAGCTAAATACAGGGCAATTTAGAACCAATGGTGAGAAGTACTTTCAACCAATACAAGCAGGAGACAACCTTGTGAAACATACCGAGTGTCAGACCAGCTAAGCAGGGCAGAGTCTGGTTAGGACTGTGATGGGAAACTTTTGGGAACACCAGGTGGGGCGGCTGTAGAGTATCAGACAGTTGGTGTGTCCTTTGGCATAACAGACATAGTATAACTTTGGTGTGTGTGTGTTTGTGTGCGTATGTGGGTACAAATTGGCTTCTGTGAGTCAGAAGCTGTGCCTTCAGTAGTAGTTTACCACCACCATTTACAAATACATGTGAAAATATAGCCCTACATAAATGTAATGCACAATAATCATATTATTATTAATCATATCTGTAAAATGCCCGAGCCCCTTCAACTGGTGGAGAAGCAGCGGCTCTATTCCCGCGCGACTGAACCTCTCCCCCTATCTCTAAGGCAGCGCCCAGCCACTCTGCGGAGGAAGCTCGTTTCGACCGCTTGTATCCGCGATCTCATCCTTTTCCATCATTACCCAAAGCTCATGGACAGAGGGGAGAGAACATAGATTGACCGGTAAATCAAGTGCTTTACCTTTCGCTCCCTCTTCAGCACAACCCTATAATGTATAATCAAATAATATGATTTGTTTTAAACATACTGCAACATGTTGATACCCAGTGATTCATAATTACACAGGACATGCAGTAAAAATGTCTAGCTTTATTCTCAACCATAACCTATAATTTTCAACACATTTGCAATATAGTCTGAACAACTTCTTCAAAACAAATTGCGGCTCCAACTTTTCTTAAAACACACTCCTTCCCCCTTGAAGATTCAGTCTTACTTACGACAAATGAGATATAGGAGGATTTAAATACACAAAAGGTCACTGAGCTTTTTTTTTTTTTTTACACACAAGACAACAAGGATGTAACGCTTATGTGGAATCGAGGACACGTTTAAAGAGGGCTTTAGCGCTATGACAGGATTTGTAAACATGTGTCAATGTCGAGCAAGAGGCTGGATCTGCTTAAGCCGTGGGCCAGAGGGCACAGACGGGGTTTTCTCGGTTTAATAACTGATGCTCTTCTTTGCACCCACAAGAATAGAAGGAAGGCGGGTGGGGCGGGGAGGGGGGGGGGGGAGCTGGGTGCGTAGAGGATTGACAGTTGCTAACAGAGCCGGGGTGTTGGACATGATTGAGGGAATGTAGCTTGAGCGATAGGAGGGGGGAGACAGGAAGTAGGTTAGGACACGAGTGAATGAACGGAGGGCCCTGGAGTAAGATGAAAACAAAGGCAGTGTGAAAGGGAAATACAAAAAGGTTGAGTTGAATTCAGGGAGAAATGCATTGATAGCATGTTTAATAATCCTAGTAATAATGTAAGAAGTTAAATTATGATCTTGTTTGCAGATGTCATCATGTTTGTTTTGGGATTTTTTAACCTGAGGTACCTTACTTTAAAACCACAAAAAACAGTTTGGTTCTAACTCTAGTTTCCTTCTTTCTTCTCCCAATTTTTGTAAAATATTCAACCTTTGTTGTTATTGGCGGGATTGGAAAGCATGACACTGTATTTGTATGGCACTAATATTCAATATTTAAATTGTAAGCATTTCAGATATATTTTAATGACACTTTTATGTATTCACAAAAATTAAGGGTGTATTCAGACCTGCACATTTGCTCCACTTTAAACGAACCAGGATTCGTTTGGAACTCTGATCCGAATCTTTTATGCAGGTCTGAATACACACAAACGAATCCTGGTCCGGACCAAAGAACCGAACCGAGACCCACTTTTTTAGGTGGTCTCGGTCCGCTTCCAAACAAATTCTAGTCCAAGTCGAATCAGGTCTGAATACATCCGGTGTCGATCCGACACAACTCCAAGATACGTGCGCATTTTTTGGGCTTAACAAGCCGCAGACAGAAACTGAGGAATGCAGCGGCTGCTAACTATGATGCTAACTATGATGCTAACTATGATGCTAACTATGATGCTAACTATGATGCTAACTATGCTGCTAACTATGATGCTAACTATGATGCTAACTATGCTGCTAACTATGCTGCTAACGCTACACAACAACACTGAGCCGTGTGCAGACCTGGAACAGTGAGGAGACGCTGTGCAACAGGCTTATGGAGTTACAACTGTTCACAGTATACATTGATGTTAATGGCAGCATCTTCAAACCATTTGCATTATTAAAAGCCTGACACTGTTTGACTCACGTCTCAAAGAGCAATATTCCGCATCATGTAGTGAATTGTGTTCTTTGGTTCCTACCTGATCCTCAGCGTCTGTTTGTCCCGTGGTTATTATAGATCCATGGTTTATCCACAATGCTGAACAGGGCCGTTATTATAATAGATCCATGTGTGGGACAGGACACGGAGCGCACAGACAGTCTCCTTCGTCTTTCTCCTCACGCATTCTCCAACACTGTTCCAATATTTAAAACAACGTGTTTGGCCTGCGTCATATGAGCTGCTGTTGATGTTGAAGGTGGTTTTGCTCTAAAAAGAGCAAACATAGGCAGAGCAGACATGCTGCACATACAAGCCCTCTGTTTTCCTCTGGTTCCGCGTCTATCCTCTGTGAGCTCTCTCTGTCCAATAGGAGCGCCGATCGTCACACGTGTCGATATGTTTATATAAAAAAGTTCACTTGCAAAAAGGACAGTCTGAATACGAACCGGAGCAAAAGAAAAAAGTTTGGTCCGCTTTTGATTCGGATCAAGCAAGCGGAGCAAAGGACTTTTCAGGTCTGAATACATCCTAAAAGACTAATGCATGTGGTAGAGCAAGTATTGACAGAAAAAGTAAAGTCGGAGATAAAAATCTAGAGCTACAGTGGGAGATGAAATGATCAGAGCTTTTATGATCCCAATTCCAAATTATAAAAACTCCTTTGATTCTCTGATCTGTGATGGTGAATTTAAAAAATTTGTAAAGTCCTCCGGGATAACTACTGTTGTGATTTAGGGCTATACAAGAATACATTGAATTGAATAGAGTCTTGCCCATAAGGAGAATAGCAGTGATGAATATTGAGTGATAAAGTACCGTTTTGTGTGAGCTTGGTGGAACAGACCAGGGTGCAGATCTGGAAGGAGTCTTTGCTGATGCTGCAGTTCCCAAGGTTCTGGTTGTTTTTCCCTGTGGTGGAGTAGCCCTTCTCCTCCAGCTCCATCTTTGTGGCCGGCAGGTTCAGGTACAGAGATGAGTCCTCGAACTTCTTGGCCTCAGCCTAAAAGTGGAGGAAAATTGGGTACATGGTTTTATTTTTTGCAGTGTGGGTAGGGTTATTGATATAAAACTAAAATCTTACTGTAATCTATGAGGTTTGGTTAATTATCTAGTGATATATGTTTTGTTAAAATTTTATGTAAATGTTGAAGACACATTGAAGAATCTTCCTGCTATATATCTATTTTGTATAATTTACATTTCCACATTGATCTCAGATGAAAAAATAATGGCTAGCTACAGCACTGTTAATACAATTATTGATTCGTCTAGCAATTACAAATAGAGATTGATTATTGATTTAATGAATTGATTGATTTTTCAAAAACACAGATACAATATTTTATCTCCGTTAGACCCAGAAAAGCTCCAGAACTGACCACTTAAAAAACGAGATATGCTGCACCCCCCTCCCCACCTGGGAGCTTCTACAGTCCTACAGCCTCAGTCCTCGTTCTACAGCCTGAGTCCTGGATCTATAGCATGTCCGTTCACGGGAGCGGATACATCTCCCAATGTGGGCCTCGCCAGCGTTTCTCAAGGTTTCTCTTTCTCTTTTTCCCACTGGGTTTTTGAGTCCATGAGCTGAGGCAGGAAGGTCTAAGGACAGTGATCCGGGACATTCATGAACATTTATGGACATTTATGGACATCTATGAACATTTATGAACATTTATGATCATTGGTCATCCCGCTCCCTCTGGACCAACAGCTCCTATGTGTTGGTTATTGTTGCATTATTTCCTGTATTCCAACTGATCTGTTGTTAGTGGATCCACAACTTTATAAAGTCCTCAGATATCACTGCTGTTGTGAATTAGGGTTGTACAAAAATACATAGAATTTAAAACAACCCTTTCAAACTACAAAAATGGAACGATTGGACTGCATCAAAAAGATGATTTGCAGTTTCCATTCCTCCTAAACAAAAACTTAAAAAAAGTAAAGTTTTAATTCCCTGAAGTTAACTATAAGACATGGAGGCTAAAAGTATATGGTTGAAACCAATCCCAGGTACAAACAACAAAAGTCTTCCATAATGAGGTCAATGAGGTTATGTCTGCTCATAAGAACTTTTTAATTACTTTAATTGTGCAGTGCAACACACAGGTAATACACAAGCCGTTTTAATTGGATATAAATGAATTTTCCGTGTGGGGGTAGATACGGGCCGCTTCAGAAGCAGTGATTACAGCACAAGGCTAATTTTTCATCTCAATGCTAATGGTTCTAATGTGAAACGAGTGGGCCACATACTATGACATGCCACACAGGTGCATGATGGGACACCTACACCATCTTTACAAAGATAATTTCAACATGTAAATTCTAAGGAGCGTGTATTCTACATTAATTTTACATGTGGCTTTGCCTGTAGAGATTCACAGAAAGGCAGCAAATCTGAGCTATAACTGGTTTTACTTTACCTAACAGGTAGTCTTGTAAAAGTTATACATTCAAAAAGACATGTCATCTTTTGAGCCTCCATTTCTATGTTTGTCCGAAAAAGCTGATCAAAAGATGTGACATACTGTACATACACAGTACATGACAAAAAAGTACAAGTTTTGAAAGTGAGGTACTACTGTAGTTACATAGATTTTTATGTCCACCCAGGGGGTAAAGTAATCGCCGCCGTTAGATCAAGTTTAATAAGTTGGAACAAAGTAAAAACTTGATTTCTTTAGAGAGGAGTTGAAAAATAAAACATGAAAGTGAGACGTATATATGTGCAATATGAATAGATTTCACTGCATACACTGTATATACACTTTTATCCAATGTGTTTTTATTACAAATACAGTCCGTTAGTTTATACTTCTGTATTTCTGGGTCTTTTACCTTATACACGATGAGGTCATGTTCACCGTCCCGCAGAGTGGTGCCGTCGTATCGCATCAGCTTCACGAAAGACAAGGCAAAGATTTTCTCCGATTTGTCTTTGGCTGAAGGAGAAAAAAACAATCACAAAAAATAAACATTCAGGTTATCAATGCCACAATCAACCATGTTAAAACTATATATTATAGTGAGTTGTTTGGTATTTTGGTATGATTTTTATTTTCACAGGGACAAGTGTAGAAAGAGAGATGGATTGTACCAGGTAGTAGCAGGAGTGATAATGTTGTGCTGGCCATTTTGGACTTTTGTCACATCACCTTTTACTGTGTACAATTTAATTTACCGTACAGGTTTCTGAAAACAAGTGGATGTTCCATTATGAGTGAGTGAGTTCGACCATTTCCCAGGTAGATAAGAGCTGGAGAAAAAGAGGTCAGTAGGTCTTTTGTGTCGTCTAATGATGTTGTTGACCGGAGGCTGTGCTGAAGAGAGCCCCGATGCCAGGTCAATGCGCAGAAGTGGATCCATTTTAAACAATCAACACGGCATTTGAGTTCAGAGTCTGGATCAACCTTGAATGGTTACAGCAATATGGGATAAACTCGTCCAGCATTAAGAGCCTTTATAGCAAGAGTGAATCGCAGAGATTGAATATTACATAAAGATCCGTATGTGTTGTGCTTTGGTCTGTGCCTGCAGTGGCCTTTATTATAAAACTGCTCATTTGTTTCATGGTAAATAACAATGTTGTGTTTACTAGAGTGGGTAGATAGAGGAAAGGAGAATCGCCGAGAGACAAGAGAAGCAGTATGGCCTCAAGCTATGTCCAAAACACCAACCCTGCTGGTGATTTTCCACCGGGAGATGCATACATGCGAGGATTGCATAATACTAGTTACCCACAGATTGTTTCTTGTCCTTGAACATGAACCAGTGGAAATGGCTGTTTAAACTGTATAAGGAGACTGCTGATGCCTGAATGCTAGCGTTGGTACAAGACGACGTACATCATCGGAGCGGATCAACAAGCTCAAATTTACGTGCGGCCGCTCATGATTCATGGCCGTGTCCCGTGCTCCGGCTCTGCATAAATCCACTCATTGGTTTGCTGCCCGTGGCCTCGCTGCTGAATAATTACAAGGACTAGAGTGAAAAGGCCAGGCGAGGGAAACAGCGCCACCACTGAGTAACAGGAAGTACCATAAACTAGGAAATTGCATTCATGAAAAAAGATAATAAAAATGTATATAACATTTCTTAAAATGACAACTACCGGTATATACCATAGACTGTATATATTAACGGACAGAGTCACGCCTATCTCCGCCGTTGTAACTAATGGGCCAAAAATTGTGCTCTACTGGAGCAATCCAAAATGGCCGCGAGTGGTCCCGCCCACAAGAAAATTGTGAAAAAACTCACCTGCGCATGCGTCAGCCGGCGAGAGCTCCATTCATTTGAACGAGAGACTTCAGTTATTCACTGCAAGTAAACTAGAGTGGTCCATAAAAATTCACCCCCCTCAGCTTTGACACACATGTGGAACGGAGCTTTGGGCCAAGAGCCAACTTTTGGACCATCCTGAAAGACATTTTCGAGAGGTCTGCCAATGCTATATGTTAGCATTGGCTAATTCTTCTTCTGGGTCCACCCCCATCGGCCCGGGGTGGTATTGCAAGCATGCCAGCGCACGTCATTTGCTGACATGGGACAGGGATAAGATGCCCCGATATAAACACTTCTTCTGAAACTACTAAAACTCCCAGAACAGTCATTTTACTGCTTTTATTAAAATGTAAAAAAAAGTAATTCATACGTCCAAGCACAAGATAAATCTGGTTAAAATAGAATAAATACAACAAAACAAAATGCCAGAATATGCTATAATCAGGGGTTTTTTGTACTTAAGTCTTGCTTCTTTATCATGCTAAAGTTGGAGATTATCAACTTCTTTCCTTATTATGCTAAAGATATATATTTTATACTGCTTCTTTTGATGCTAGAGCTAGAGATTTGATGGATAAAAGAGTATAAATCACTGATATAAACTAACCCTCCAAACCAACTCCAGGGTCCAGATCAAAGAAGACAGAGGCAAGAGCAGGGATAATAGACCAAAGACATAGACATATGGGAATTTTTTGTCTCCTGAATGCATCTGGCGTAGAGAACGGGTCATTCTCTGGACAACAGTCACTCAAAGTCAAACCCTTTTCAAAAGTTTCGGTCTCTGCGGGAGAGCTGTCACTTCAGATAAATGTCCATAAAGCCTCCTATCGCCTCTCCAGGTACAGTCCCGGATATAAATGACCCCAGAGAGCGCAAGAGCCAAAATGGCGGGGATCCCTGTTCCAGCCGCATTGGTCTCTGTGATACGAGTGGAGCGTAGAGAGAGAGCCCAAAAGCCCATTGTTAACGGCTGATTCTGAAGTACTTCACTGGAAACCTGAGCCAGATTGAGATGAGCTCTGCAATCTGTCCAGCAAAAATGATTCTACAGGATGGAGATTTTTTTTTGGTGCAATAATAATCAAGCTGGGGTACAAACTGTGGCTCTAAAATGGTATAGTTCCTTCATCCTTCACTAATTTGAATTGATTTATTGTATGTTTTGGCTTCTGTCACATCTTTAGATTGGCTTTTTCGGACAGAAAAGAGAAAAAGAAAATAAGATAAGATAAGATAAGAATTCCTTTATTCGTCCCACAGTGGGGAAATTTCGATGTTGCATCGCACATATAGGACCGTAGTAAGAGCACACAGGGATCACACACAATATATACACTATATACAAATAAGTAGTAGCTATGTTTCTTAACATAACTAGCTGTAGATGCTGAAAAAGCTTCAATACCAGTCAAAAAATATATATGTAGTAGTTGAGTTATATACTGTACAGTTAAATACTGCAGAAATCACTCAGCCAATCAGCTCAGAGCCCAAAGTTTCAAAAGTGACTCACAGGCAAAAGATAACAGAATATTGGTATTAAACCAGGAAGTCCCTTGAGATATAATCTATTTTAATCAACCATTTGGCAAACAGCATCTCAATATTTTGTTATAGGGGTGAAAAAAGGAAAAAAGTGTTGTGCTTCTACATCTTATAAAATCCTAAAAGATAACATGACATTTTGCGACACAATGAAAAACCAATGTCAGTATCCAAATAAACGACTGGAGCTGAAGTTGGCTGGATGACATTGTGAAAGTGCCTACTTTGGTGTTCGTGGATTTGGACACGGCTGTTTTAGGTGTAGTAAGTTGTGGATGTTGTCCCAACCCCAGGGAACTGCATGAGAAAACAGTCTTGCCAAATTCTGAATGAGAAATTAATAAAGTTAAGTGAGGCAGCCCAGCTTTTAATATATCCATATCAATTCATTTGGTTGGAAACGGTTGAAAAAAGTTTCTGGACAAAGTCTGTGACCTCCACTAACCATTTGTATATCCTGAATGTTATCTTCAATACATATGACGCCACTGGACCAAGTCAAACGGATAGATAATCACGACAGCTGACCCTTTGCAATAAGAATGCATGTGCTTTTTAAAGAGATTTGCGAGCAATAAAGACCGCAGTGATGCAATAAATGTAAGATGAAAAACATTTATATCCATTTTCGGAAATGCAATAACTTCTCCGTGGAGACAAACCTGGATTTTGCAAGGACCAACTCGTGTTTTGTGGTAGAAAACAAGGACAAAAAAAATTTCAAATGTCATAATCATTAAAAACGTGTGATTGGTGTGCTTTAAAACAAATCAAATCATTTCAGTGGCTTGGATTTCTGTAAAAGCATGAATCAGTCTTTGTCTTTTGGTTTGATTTGCAGGCAGGTGAAAAGCAGAGAGAGAAAAAAGGACATTTCTCGCCATAATTGTACAAGACAAAAAGACCTTGTTCAATTATTTTCTAGGGTTTCCAAAAACTTTAAATATTACCGTACATCACAATTCTAAAACTGCTGAAGTCGGTGGGCACTGGCTGAATGCGATGTTTGGAATGACCATAAAAGCGTTGCCAGCTAAATATTGCCCCCGAGTGTCATTGCGGACAGAACTGGCTCCATTCAAAGACACAAAGCAGTAATCAGGCCAAAACAACAAAATCCTTCTGACGCAGATTATGTGGCGAGCAAAAATATCGCTGAACTTTTGCACTACTGGTACACGTATATAAACCATGCTAAGTTTCCATAACATACAGATTTAGTAATGTGCTGTATGTACTTTTAACTAAGAGGGTTTGACTGGCTACTCTACTCTACTCTACTCTACTCTACTCTACTCTACTCTACTCTACTCTACTCTACTCTACTCTACTCTACTCTACTCTACTCTACTCTACTCTACTCTACTCTACTCTACTCTACTCTACTCTACTCTACTCTACTCTACTCTACTCTACTCTACTCTACTCTACTCTACTCTACTCTACTCTACTCTACTATGCATGGCGCCATAAAGATGGCATCGTGGCAAGAGCTCTGGTTGGTGCACTTTAGAGAAGTCTTGCACAGTTTATCCATTGTGGTTTTACTGCAATGGCAAATACATTCTTGTATCCTGTACTACGTGAATATATTTCCATTACAACTTTCTGTCTTACAGCTTCTGATACAGGTTTTTTTTCCAAAAAGTAAAGCATGGTGTATTTAAAACAGCCAAAGCATACCAACGGGCTATTCCAATTATTATTTATATTTCAGACTGCACAACAATTTCTTCAAACATTGGCACAGATTAAAGCCAAAATTTAACTTTTTCCCCCTCAGTATATCTGCACTGCTTTGAAAAACAACTCACCCCTATTACACCTACTGCAGCCTTTTTACCTCCTGGGCTTTTTTTATTAGGAGTCAGTGACGAGCCAGAGTTTAGCATCATCAGCATGCCTCCGCAGTCCGAGAGTCAGTTAAGGTGAGGTAGTTTCTAAAGCAACCGTTACACGTGGATAAGAGGCGGTCCGAGGGTTTCAAAGGCCGGCTTCATAACAGTATTAGACGGAGCAGAGGCATGAGGGGAACGGCTCTCCAAGAAGATTATCTCTCAGCCACGAATCCTCAGGCCAGGCCAAAACATGTGGACAAACGGACCCACGGTGAGTGGTAACCAAGGCAGCAGGAGATTTAGAGCCGGGAATTGTGGACATAGCATCAGAGGAGAGAATGATGCAGTTTATAAGATGGTAGAAATGCAAATGCTCAGAAATGAATGGACAGAACGTATATGGCCTGTCAGAAGTATTGATATTTGGATAGATAACAGGATGGAACTGAAAATTGGAGAGAAAACAGGATGGAACTGAAAACACGCACATATTTTGATATTTTGTGAGTGTAAGAATATAAGTGCGTGTAATCAAAATGATTGTCTGTATGGTAATTTTGTGTTATTTTTCCTTATGTATTTATGTTAATTTGTGTAGTCTCTGTGTCTTATGTAAAAGAGCCTCTGTCTCTTATACAGTTCAGGGCTTCACTCTTTGTCGGTTTTGATATCAAATTGAATTATTATCATAATCAGTGGTGAATCATAGTAAGCTTACCCCTTAGTATTCAAAAAGAGCTGGAACATTTCTTCTTTCATAATATCAGTGGGAAAGTTTCCTTACAAAATCCATACATTTTCTTCCGATGTATCCGTTACAGTGACAGCACTAGTTCAAGCAGGGACTCAAGACTTCCCTATCCTGACCTGGGGACGCTTTGTCAGACTAAATTTCAACTATATTGCTAATTATTTTTTCAGTACACAAAAAATAGCTCTGTAATCATTCAAAAGAGAGAGTTCCCTGGCCAGCTGAGAGACATAGTCCTTCCAACAAGTCTTGGGTAGAGTCCTAGGTCGACCAAGCCACCTCAATTTAATCCTCTCAATTGGAGAAGCAGCGGCTCTACTCTGAGCTCCTCTCACTTGATCACTCCTCACTTGTCAAAAAGCAAAATTTATGCAAAGACACACAAGTGAAGTTAGATAATAATAATAATAACCCAAAGATCGATCAAAACAACATTTAAAAATGTAGGAGATGTCTCGGTTTGAATCCAAGCAAAGCTGTTCCTAATTTAAATATGAAAACAAAACAAAACCTCACAGCTTTTCTGTGGCCAACAAACAAATATTATGGCAACAAGGTTTTGAGCAGACGGAGGGGCAGGGCAGAAGCAGTCATCTCCAGCAGCCAAAATGACACATAAAGCATATTAGAAAACAGAAGGCTATTACAGAGCTGGCTAGTCTCTGCGAGGCAATAGGTCCTAATTAACCAGTACATCTCTCCAGAAAACGGTCAGTACCCAGCTGCCACCGGCAATCCCAGTCACGATTCTATCACCAGAGCAGAAGCGAGTGCCAGGCCCGGGAACTGACCTTCTAACAAGCTTCTGGGTGGCATCGACAAAAGGTGCTTTCTGGGTGTTTTTCTTATTCCAGCATTCAGATAATATTCATAAAATCCATCTGCTTCTCCCTTCAAATATTCAACATCTGTTTGAGATTGAATATTTACACAAGGAACTAAAAATTGGTGCACGACTTTTACGATTTTAGAGCAGATACACCTGGTATTGACATTTGCTCTAGTCTGGACACCCCTACAGCTAATCCTTCATAGTTTATGTAGCTTTTGTGTAGAAAATGAGAATTCAAAATGTAGATTTGTACTCACAGTCCTGAGACGAGCGGTGGCGAAACGTGAAACGCAAATGGCGCCGGTTACTCTTCTGAGTGTTAGGCGACTGTTGCTGCAGCATACCTTTACTACAATATGAATTATACACAATATGTAAAACAGTGATTTTCCAATGGAATAAGCAGATAAAGATTTCCATTAAAAACTAATGAAAAGCAAAATTTTATTTCATTTTGATATCATAACCAATACTGCCAAATGACAGACACGTGACAGAATACAGCTCTTGAAAAAAATATAGATATTTATAGATAAGAGCTATTCTTTGCCCAGTATTATTCTTTACAGACCTTTTTAAATCAAATTATGGAATGCCTTAAATATTTTATATCCCCCCCGCCCTTATATATTTATATTATAAAAAAAAAAATCCTTGAGGCTTTTGCCCCCCTCTACAATAAAGTCATAAGAATCAACTGATATACTACTTATTAGTTATAAGCGAATTACTCACTTAGTTAATTATTTAACGATTTGTTTATCATTCACATGGTGTGACCTTTATTGTGCGGGGAGTTGTGCTTGCTTTCTTTATCACAGTAAGGCACCGTCCATATTCTACACCCTTGCCCTATCTAACAAGCAGCACTGCCCTGTGTGTGGCGCGCCCCGTCGGGTGTGCAAGGGTGTCCCAATACTTAGGAAAAGAGGCAGGGCCATCACAGGAACCCCTATCAAACACCCTTGAGCACAAGTGTGGAGTCCGAGCGGACTTGCGACGAGGTGATGGCCATGATGCATTACGATAGCTGGTAGGTAAAGCAGCAGTTCCGGGCAAAGCCGTGCCACAATGAAAGAAAACAACATGAAACACCCGCGCGCAAGTTTGTGGGGAACATGAGCAAGCTCCAAAGCGTGTGCGAGTTAGTTTTTAAAGCGTTTGTTGGTGCCGTGCAGAGACGTTCGCTCCATGTTGTAGTTCAGAGCATCGCTTTGACACAGTTTGCTCTGTGATCCGCGGGACCGCGGCTGTACCCGTCTGTCTCTGTGTGGTACATATCTGTGCGCGTACGTGTATGTGCCTATCTCTGTGTGCTTGTACATGTGTCCGTCTGTGTGCGTGTGTCTGCCTCTGTGCGTACCTGTGTGTCTGTGTGTGCGTGTGTCTGGCTCTGTGTGTGTACATATGCGTGTCTGTGTGCGTCTGTCTCTATGAGTGGGTGATGTGCATCAGTTCTGTGCCTAATTATAGCAAACCTTTATATGAAATAGAATTAAAAACTTAGTAAATACTGTGTTTCATAAAGTCATATCTGTGTCAGATCTCATCTGTGGTGAAATCAGACACATGTGTGACGTGGAACATGTCTGCTGCGTCATTTGCATATTGTCCCCTAGATCCAGGGGTGTCCCATTTCTTAGGGAGAATGTTGTGAGTGCACTCCCCACTGGGAAAGCACTTTGCTGGTGAGGGTACTCACACCTAAGGGCAAGGGTGAGAATTGGGACGGAGCCTAACCCTCAAGTACATCTGAAACATGTACTGCACATGTCTCTTACTTATCTAAAGAACCATTTTTATTTATTGTTTTAGTAAAGAGTTGCGCTATACTTAATATTCACTTGTGCTGGGTGTTCCTCATTGCTACGGTTCTGTAACTTGTGCTGCAACACTGAAATGGTAAATTCATAGAAGGGTTCTTTTGTGTAAATAAGATAGTACTGCTCGATTACGAATGAATAAAGGGTCTCTTTGTCTTATGCTTTTAGTTTATAGTTTCATAATCATTCCAACAATAAAAAAACAACAATACAATATAAAATCCTATCATTCCGAAATTGATCATTTTTACCTTGATTGTTTCAAACCAGCGCGGCTGCTTCACTTGGTAGTAAATGACTGACTTGTACTCGTGTATGCCGTCATCTCCAGCGCCAGGAAAAATCACATTCTATCGGGGGAAAAAACAGAAATTCACACCAGAATTAAAAGCAAAAACGTCACATTGTAAAACAGTTTGGAGCCGGACTTGGAAACTGCTGATCTAAGGCCTCCGTAAAAGTAATCTCACACAGGGGTCTAAATACACTTTATGCATGCGCGGCTGCACGGAGAGGCTGGTCTCATGCCACTGTTTTGGAAATAAGAAATAAATGACAGATTAATAATTTAAAAGTGCGGATGGGAGTGGATCGGAATGAAGGAGAGTGGGGAGAGGGATTGGAATGAGATGCGGAGAGTGCGAGAGATGGACCAGAGCCAAGAGCAGCTGGTGTGTGTGCAAACAGGTCATCAAGTCACTGATAAACAAATGTACTATTGGTTGTTTAGCATACATACATCTGAAAGAAACACTAAGGATATTCATAGCTTTTACAACTGATTTTCAAAGATTTTTTGTTCGATCACTAATTTTCACATGCATTTGTTGTGTCACAATGTTTGGGTTTGGGTCAAGGGGGTTAAAGGGCTCTTTATTAGTATGCAAAAATAAATGCAAAAATTTAAATATAACTTTCTAATGAGATACAGACACCATGATGTGGTCTGATTTGTTCACAACATTTATTTAGTAATGTTTTGGGTAGCACAGCGGCTGAGTGGTTATCACTTTTGATTTTCAGCACAATGTTCCTGGGTGTGAATTGTGGTCAGAACAGGGCTGCTTGAAGTTGAGTCAAACCCAGACATAGGCTGCTATGTCTTCCTATGTCTGCGTAGGGTTACTCCGGGTGCTAAAACACTGTACAATACAGGTCAAATCCTCCAGCTCCGGTCCTGACCAGGCCAAGCAACAACATCTGGAAATTCTCGATTCTGGTTCTCGATCCTGACCGAGGCCCGAGTGGACATTAATGTATAACTTAACATAACTTCCATACATAGGGAGATCCAAGAACACAACCACAAACGTTAAGATTAGGAAACGTTAAGAAATTTCAAATAAATACAAGCATTTTAAAAACAAAACAAAACTATTCCTCCAGGGACAGAGACAGCCTTAAGCACACCTCCTGCAATGGACACATATAATGCACACTATAACAATCAACCATTTCAAGGCCATCCCTCTGCTTTCCTATTCCGTATCTTCTCGCTTCATCTCCTGAAACACCGCAGCACTAATAGATTCTGACAGCCACCGTTTATGAGGACTAACAGAATGCAGTCCCCCTAAAAGAATGCAGAATGCAGTCCAGTGCTGGCCTCCGGTCGCCAGGTGGAACGATGGTACATCCATAAGAGGCCGAATGAAAGGAGCGGACTCGGAAATGGCCGCAGGTGAAGGAGGAAGAAATATATGTCCAAAGACCAAGACGGCAAAGCTTAACCGCAAAGACTAGCATTATTTTGTGCCTCCGAGTTTGAAGTTTTTAGTATTTTATTTATATCATATATATATATATATATATACACATATATATCTGGTGCACACAGACTTTTTCAAATGCCCAGCCTTAGCAGGAACATATGAAGTCCTAAAACTAGATAGCTAAGAAAATGTGAGAAATAGAAGGCAATTGTTTTTAAAAGAACAAAATATATGGATAAACTTGTGAAACTGAAAATAAGATTACTATAGATTACTCCTTTTATACAGTGGCTATAATGTTGTGCTACAATGGATTAAGTAGTTCATATCTTGATTTAAAAACACTTAATTATTTTCGTAAAATAATGGAACAACCAGCTTTAGTCGTATCTCCAGCACAGATAAAGCAAATGCATTACGTGTTCTTTTGGCAAATCTCGTTACATGTTACTCTTAATCAATTTAGTCAAATTTGGGCAATTTTGTACCGTTTTTGTTGGCACTTTTTGTTGCTTAGTTTCACACCCATCAAATAATCTATCAATCATTTTTATATTTACTCATAAAAGTATCCTTTGGGGACCTACCTGAGCTTTAGTTTGAAAACTGATGGACTACACTATTCTAGAGCGCAGACTGACATGTTGGATTTAGCTCTAAATCAGAAGTCTAATGGAGACACACAGTTGTAAGGACCACAAATTGAGAGCAGAATGTGGTCTAAGGATTAGTTTTCCCATTAGAGAGCAATGCTGTAACATGTATAACAAACTCAAAGAAAGACCAGGATATGTGTGCTGTAATAACAACCATTTTCTCATACTGTTTATGCCAATGAATATAAAGCTGCATGAAGAGATTTCGTTTTTTCATTCACTGCTTTTTACGGCAGACTTCATTACCGCGGGCTTTGTTGTGCCTATAGACCAGCATTTATCAGTATTATAATCTCGGCCCCACACTTTCGCAGCCTGCTGGGACAAATAGCTCTGGATCCTACACTAATGTATGTAATTTGGGCGACTGGGGGGTAACAATGCTTATTTCTGATTGGTTGTTTGCGACAGGCCAGCACAGCAGTAGGGTTTTATCATCAGACCAATCAGAGGCTATTAAGGGCCCACATTCTCACAGTGTGCACTAAGCAGCCGCGAGGGTGGGTCCACTGGCATGAGCATTTCCTCTGTCTGATAAACAAGGAAGAGAATGTTGAACAAACAAAACAAAAAGTCTTTTAAATTGGCAAAACCATTCGCTGATACAGGTGAAACTACAATTTGGTTTAAAAGTTTGTTAATTTTTGTAATTAAAACTTAAAACATGAAACCGTAATGATGTATTCAATTCAATTAAAAGTGTTTTTGTGAAGGCCTAAATCACAACAGCAGTCATCTCGGGAGGTCTTTACAAAGTTGTGGATTCCTCAACAGCAGATCAGAGAATCAAACAGACATATGCCAAGCCTTTGTTATAATTTTGATGATTATGGCTTACAGTCCATTTTTTTAAAAATCAACATTTACTGAGATGTTTTATATGGGTTTTTTTTACAATCTTTGAGCCAATTTTTCAACTGTTTAATAATTGTCTATGAATCTCTGAGTGTAGAATATATTTACAATCGTATTCAAAAGCAAATAACATAAGAAATTGAGGGACTTCCTTGAACACTAAAATGCATGCATGTTTGAATAATTTATTGTTTTGGCAATTTTTATTTCTGAGTTTGAGACATACAGGTGATTTGGAGGCAGTGTGCAGGCGTTTTTGAAATAAAAATTAAAAATAAGTACCACAGAAACCAGATTTCATATATTTTCACTTTAGAGCATAGTATGGAAGCCCGTTTCCGCCATGTAAAAAAAAAAAAAGCATACAGAAAGTCAAAATTTTGAGTTTAAAAGTCAAAATTACAACTTTTAAAAGTAAAAAATTTCGACTTTAAAAGTCAAAATTTCGACTTTAAAAGTCAAAATTACGTATGTGTTGTTGTCTGGAACGGTCTCTGGACATCCTTCACCTCCAGATTATGTGAAGATATTGCCTACAGTGACCACTGCATCCTTGAAGTAGCCAGAAATAATGTTGTTTGATTGATTCTGTAAAACTTTCCTGTTTAAGCCCCAGACCGCGGTCGTAGGACGCAGGGAGGAGCTGTCTTTTTATTTATTTATGTTAAATTCAATTTACATATATACAACATTTAAATCAAATGACTTCTTATTTCGACATAGTAACAAATAATGTGAGCAATATGTTTTTATAATAAATCAAAGGAAAATGAGCCATCGAGACATTCCAATCCAATCTGCTATAGACCACTCTGACCAGACGATGGCGCTGAGAGGGGTCCACACGGAGCGAGTATTTCCAGGGCTGAAATGATGCGCTTTCTACGTGTTGAGTACGGGGTTTTATTCAGGTTAACTCCCTTTTCAAAGACCCTCACTGTTATCTGCGGAGTTATTTTTCCGGATTGTTGCTAAAAGAGTTGTGGGCTTTATTTTGTCACAATAAAATAATCAGAAAAAGTACTTCTTCCCTATATGTCTCTGTGTTCTTGCTCATACGCCAACAACTTTACCCGCACGCTCGCTCCATCAGCTCACCCCTGCGTGCACGCAAACACGTCACATACTCGTCAATGCACTGATCGCAATTCCAAAAGGTTTAATATTGTCAGTGCCCGTGACTGTGGTTCTCCTGCCTCTGTCTGCGGACCTCTCTCACTGTCCTGTAATCGCGAACGGTCTCTCTGTCAGTCACAATATCATTCAGTGCATTTCTGGTGCATCCATCGATAGCCGTGGTACTGACCAGACGTCACCAGTTGATGCTCAATGACTTTGAACAGCCGCATGTGTTTTATTATTAATCTTCCACAGTCCGTTTAGGATAAATTAAATAGAGGCTTCTGAAGCGGATTCTAATCATAAACGGAGAGACCGTTTGCATTTTAACGCGATTACTACCACAACATTATTGCTGCTACTTCATGGATGTGGTCACTGTCTGTAGGCAAAATCTTCACATAATCTGCAGGTAGAGGATGACCCGTGGTCATGGATCTATAACAGGGATGACCAGAGACCGTTCCAGACAACAACACATACGAGTTTTTAACTGCACATGCGCAGTTGAAAACTCGTAATTTTGACTTTTAAAGTCGAAATTTTGACTTTTAAAGTCGTAATTTTTTACATGGCGGAAACGGGCTTCCATAGCATACAGACGTACGTGACATCTTATTTACTTATTTACTAATTAGGGATGGCCCCTTGAGATTAATCATCTCATTTTCAGGGGGGGGCTCCCTTTAAGAATGTATCCTCCATCTTTAGAATCGAGTCATACATTTTGTTGTTCTTTACAATAATCTTATTTTTATTAATTTTTTTTTTTTTTTTTTTTTTTTTTTTATAATCTCCAAATAGGAGGGGTTGCCACACACACACACACAAACACACAAAATACAAAACAGGGAGCAATATATTGTCCCAGGGCCGTAACAATGTGTATGACCTTGTATAATAGGTCAAAAACAGGATTCATAGCACCACAAGCTCAAAACAGATGAAAAAAAAACGATACAGAGAGTATTTCTGCAAAGGCTTTAGATTACAGACATCAGCAAACAATCTTGCTAGAGTGTTTTGACAGAAATATCAGGCTTAATCATAAAGTATTTACATAATATTTCGATTATCACTATGCTGTTAATAAGGGTGAGGTTTGTAATCTAAACCAGTAAACAATGAACTGACAATTGGATTACAAATCTCAACACATATCTTAATGGCATATTTGCTGCAATTCAACTGATTCAAACATTATTCTGACCTATTATATCTACACATAAAATAATAAAAATATACCTAAAACTTACTGCCCTAAAACTTAGTCGAGTTTCTGCAGGAGAGATGCTCGTCCATGCATTTAACAAGTTGCGATGAAAGGAATAATAACTAAGAATGCATTATACTGTATTTTCCCCAGTGGTTTTGGTGTTATTCCTGCAAAGTGACTGACCTGGCTCCCTTCAACAGACTCTGTATTATGAAGTACAATTATGCAAAAGCAGAGGTGCTGAGGTTGTGGTTTATACTGTATATCTTGCGGCTTTAAGACCGACAGTGATAAAGCAGCATTATACTTCGGTGTTGGGCCCGAGTCCAAGACGAGTCCATCAACAAACAAAACAGTAAAACCAAATCGTATGGCGTTTTTTAGGAGGGTTACTTGAGGGAAAATCATTGTGTGTGGAGAAATGTAACCAGCCAAAGATAATTCAATTACTCCTATGTAATTCTATGGCACACAGAAAAAATGTAAAGTCGATATAAAATGTGAGCCTTTTTTTTTGACTGCTTCCATTCAAACCAATGGAATTCTGAGAAGTTCCCAAAAAAAAGTTTAGTTTTTCACCAGATTTAATAAAAGTCAAGAAATTGGCATTGACCAGTGAAGCAACTAAATAACCTCCCTCCCCTTTGCTTCTATAGCTCACCAGACTAGAAAAAACCCACAAAGTTGACTAAAAAGTCCTTGTTTGAATCCTGAGAGATTGAGAGTGCATTTCTGTACCTCCAGTCTCTTCCCGTCCTCGTCGTACACAGACATGGTGACCTCCACGTTTTTCGGGGTGGTTTTGTTCCCTTTGTCAAAGTCTCCCTGGACAAGAGTGACGTAGATGTCGTTCCTCACGTCACCTACGGAGAGGAAAGAGAAAAGGTTGTCAAGGACTTTCCACATAACAGACTGTATTTCAACAGTAGCTGAGTTACAGCTTGGCACAAACAATAGACTTGACAGAAAACTGAGCACAAATTGTATATGGATACTCAAGGTGCTTGTTTGTCAGTTAGAAACATTTATAATTAAATCTAGCGGTTTAAAATTAAATGATATCAGTTAAGAGCCACTACTGCTACTTAGATAATTCTGTGGCTTAGGTTCAGCTGTCTAGCTATATAATTATCTTAGTGAGTATAAACAAGGGTGTGTGAACTATTGCTTTAAGTCAGCAATGACAACCGTCAGATTTTTTGTATCTGGGCTGTGATTGACAGGCTCCCTTCTTGTCCCCTTTATGAAGAGAATTTTCAAATGTTCATGTGGGCAGAGTAAGGCTAGGCACTGGTGTTTAGATGTTCTTTAATATGTGCTCAAACTTGTGAATATAACTTGAAATACTGCAAAAAAACAGTATGTTGCTATGGTAACTAGCACTGGCTCTAGGAGTTAAAGGTAAAGCTACTCACAATAAAAATGAAATAAAAAGTCAAATTGGCTGCCTTGGGAATTCTTGTGTTAAAAATATGTTCTCAGCTCATTTGTGCTTGGATCCTTCTATGAATAATTCCTATTTTATTATTTTTCAATAAATGCAAATGTATCAGTCCATTTAGCAAAAAACATCAAACCTGGCATGATGATCTCTGGGAAGCCCATCTTGCGTGCCACAGCGGTGGAGCGGTCCACGAGGTGAGGGAAGTCCTTTCTGATCTGGTGAATGTCTCCAGGAAGCAGCTTCAGGGTCACCCACAAACCTGGACAACAAATGCATCTTAATTTGTGTAAAGAAACTTTTTTAGACTCATCCACCATTTGGCGGATCACCTTTTGAGTCAATATATCTACTTGAAGATATATTGATATATAAAAGGTTCAGATATAATAATAATTATATAATGTGTGAATCGTTGGTGGGAGGCGCTGTGCTGTCCTTCTGGAGGAGGTTTGTAACTCACAAAATATAAAAAATAAGCACTCGCAGAAATAAAGTTGTCTCTTCCTTTGTTGCAGATTTATTTAAAAAACAAAATTATATTCTGTAGTTCACTTTCTTTACTCTTCAAAACTTAAGGATAATGTGCATTACAAAAACAGTTTCTCTCCTCCTCTCACACACCCTGCTGCACAGGTGACTGCTGTGATATATCTGATTGCAGGGGAGGGGAGCATGACATCATCCCAGTAACCAAAAGGAACAAATAAACATTCAATAAATAATAATTCATAACTGGCTCCAACACCCGGCCCCTAATTGCTGCAGTATTGGCTAAACAATTACAACATCTCAACACATGAGGGAGCCAAACAAGTCACTTTTCCCCAGGTAAACACAAAATTAGCAAGTACATTGTCTCTTTTTTTTGTCTTTTCTTTTTCTTTTTAGTCCATAGACCATATCTTCACAGTGCTTCTTCCATGAGCAGGCATAGCTTACTTATAGGTCGCTGCAGAACATTGTTTTTTGTTTTGACCATCACACTTCTGACGAGGCCTTTAGAGTCGGGGAAGGTTTCCAGGACTCGACCCATCAGCCAAGAATTCCTTGGTGCCGAGTCGTCCACAATGATGACGAGGTCACCGGGCTGTAGGTTATTTTTGGTGTGATGCCATTTGCATCTTTGCTGCAGTAAGGGAAGGTACTCTTTAGTCCACCGTGTCCAGAACAGATCAGCCAGATATTGTGCCTGTCTCCATTTCCTCCTGCAATACATGTCCTCTTTTACGAAAACTCCTGGTGGTAATATGAGATTTTGTTTGAGGTGCAATAGATGGTTAGGAGTGAGTGGCTCCAGATCATTGGGGTCACTCGAGACGGCAGTCAGTGGTCGATCATTCATGATGGCTTCTGCTTCAGTTAGTGCAGTGTGCAGTATGTCATCATCGATGGATTGTTGTTTTAGAAGCGATGTGAGGATCTTTTTTACCAACCTTATTAGTCTTTCCCAGACTCCACCGTGATGGGCTGCAAGGGGAGGGTTAAATGTCCATTTTATTTCATCAGCCAGAAATGCACTTCGAATTTTATTGTGATTCAAATCTTTAAGTGCTTCTTTTAATTCTTTTTGAGCGCCAACAAAGTTGGTCCCACAGTCTGTACGAATGCTTTGGATGGGTCCTCTTCGACAGATAAATCTCCTGATAACATTTATGCAGGAGTCTGTTGTGAGGGAGTGAGCCATCTCCAGGTGCACAGCTCTACTGACGAGGCATGTAAATATGACTCCCCATCGTTTGACTTGTGATCGGCCTCTTCTCACTTCTATTGGACCGAAATAATCAATTCCAACATGACTGAAAGGTGGAAGATCTGAGCACAGACGGTCTTCAGGCAGATCTGCCATCTTTTGTTCTTTGGGCTTTGACTGCATTCGTCTACAGAAGACACAGTGTTTGATTATCTTTCTGGCCAGAGCATTGGCCTGAGGGATCCAGAAGCGCTCACGTAGTCTGGAGAGCATATAGTTTCTCCCAGAGTGTCCCACTGCCTGGTGAATATGATGAAGTAGAAGGTGGGACAAGTGTGAATGCTTTGGTAAAATGACTGGATGTTTCTGCTCCACTGATACTGTAGAGTTATTAATGCGTCCTCCCCACTCTCAATGTGTCCTGAACAACGATTGGGTCCAGTTTAAAAAGGCTGTGTGCTGAATTCAGGCATTGGCCTTTCTTGAGAAGATTCAGCTCGTGACCAAAATGTATTTTTTGTTCAAACTGAATCAAAGCAGCCTCTGCTTGTTTTATGTCTTCCACAGTGAGGGTCTTTGTGTCGTTGCTGTGTTTAGACATTCTTATTCTTGGGCCTCCCTCTTTCTCTTGAATTTCATTTTGTCTCTTTTGGCTCAGATTCAATAGTGTCTTCTTAACTTTTAATATCCAAGCTGTAGCTCTCAGTAGCTTGTTCCAGGATGAATAGTGACTTATTAGGGAACAAATTGGATTTTCACTTTCCACTTTGAGAGTATTAACAGTGATGTTTTTCCTCACTTCAGGATCAGCTGGTGATATTTCCCCAAGATCCTGTTGTATTTGTTCTGCTTTAGGCCACTCACTTCCGTCCTTGCCTAGAAATAGTGGACCTTTTAGCCATCTTGATTTCAAGAACGATTCCACATTCAGTCCACGTGATCCATCGTCTGCAGGATTCTCCTTTGAGCTGATGTGTCTCCATTGTTTTGTTTGAGACAGTTCCTGGATAAGGGCAACACGATTGGACACAAATGTGTGGAATCTTTTAGTTTGATTGTGTATGTATTTGAGGACTGATGTGCTGTCGGTCCAAAAAGTTGACTCTTGGAGAGGCATCTGCAGCTCTCGTCTCAGCATTCTGTCCATCTTTACAGCAAGTGTTGCTGCTGAAAGCTCCAGCCGGGGGATTGTGATTTGGCTTGATGGGAGCCACTCTGGATTTTCCAAACACAAAAGCGACATGCACATCATCTTTTTGGTTAGTGAATCTGATGTAACTTGCTGTGCTATAACCTGATTCACTTGCATCACAGAAGTGATGGATTTCAGCTGTCTTTAAAGGGTCAAAATGATCTGGCTTCAAACACCTTTCCACGTTAAATCCGTTCAGCTGATCTAAGTCCTTACACCATCTTTGCCAGCTCTTTGAAAACTCATCAGGGATGATTTGATCCCATCCACACTTCAATTTACAGAGCTCTTGTAGGATCTGCCTGGCTTTGAGTATGAATGGAGCCAGGAAACCTAGCGGGTCGTACACTGAGCTCACTGTTGATAAAATAGCTCTTTTTGTTGCAGGGCGATCTTTTAGAGCAACCTTAAATGTGAATGTGTCACTTTTGAGCCTCCAGTTTATTCCGAGCGCCCTATCAACTGCATGTGGCTCTTTTAGATTGTCTTTGTCCAAGTCCAGTTCCTTCACCACAGCAGCACGATAGGTCTCTGGTATTGTTTCAATCACTGCATTTTGGTTACTGACCCATTTATTTAGTTTGAAACCACCTTGCTTACAAGCTTCTCCCAAGTCTCTGCACAACGTGATGGCTTGACTCTCGGTTGGCACAGATATGAGTAAATCATCCACATAGAAATTGTTTTTAATGGTTTCAATTGTCATCTCATCATACATGTCTTTGTTGTTCTCTGCAGTGTGGCGCAGTGCGAAATTGGCAATGCTTGGAGATGACACAGCACCAAAAAGATGCACTCTCATTCTGTGGATCTCTGGCTCTTTGCTTATGTCTCCATCTGGCCACCAGAGGAACCTCAGATAATCTCTATGAGGCTCGTTAACAAAGACCTGATAGAACATAGCTTCAATGTCCGCCATGACTGCAACCTTTTCTTTGCGAAATCTCAGCAGTACTCCAATGAGAGTATTTGTCAGGTCAGGCCCTTGGAGAAGTTCTTTGTTCAGTGATGTGCCTTGATATGAACTTGTGCAATCAAAAACAACTCTCAGTTTGAGCTTCTTTTTATGATATACACCATGGTGTGGTATGTACCACACATGGCCGTCTTCACGTTCTAAATGTTCTGTAGGCACTTTTTCAGCATAGCCATTTTTGAGAATGTTTTGCATGAATTCTGTATATTCAGCAGCATATTCACTGTCCTTCATGAAACGCTTCTTTAGACCTTGTAAGCGTTCTTTTGCCACATTAATATTGTTAGGCATCACTTTGTTTTCTTTTCTAAATGGTAAAGGCAAGTGGTAATGTCCTTCTTTCAGAGTCACATTTCTTGAAGCAATTGACATGAACATTTTGTCCTCCACAGACATCTCACTTTTCTCCTCATATCTATTTTCACAGAAATCCTGATTATATTGCTTTATGAGGAGATCTTTCAACTCTGTCACGGAGATTCTGTTGTTGATCACTGCGATTGGCCCGGAGTGTTCTACTGTGGCGTGGCACTGTTTTAGTGGTCCACTCACCACCCAGCCCAGGAGTGTTTCAACTGCATATGGCCCATTGTTTTCACTGTTGACAATGCACCATGGCTCCATTGCTTTGGGGATATCTGTTCCAATCAGAAGTTCAATGTCAGCATCAATTTCATCAAGTCGAACATCATTAAGGTGTGGCCAGCTTTTCAAATCGGATTTATTGATTATATTGTCTTTTGAAACTGGTATTTTTTCTTGGGTGTAAACTTTGGGTAGATTGATATATGTGCCTCCTTTCACGTGTGAAATCTCCAATCCAGTTATTTCAAATGTCCGGGCTTGATTTTGCTGTCCCATTGTCTGCAGGAGTATAGTTGTTCTACGTCCTTTGGCGTGCAGACGATTCATTAATTGATTGGTGCAAAAGGATGCTGTGCTGCCTGGATCGAGGAAAGCATAAGTACAAATGTATTTGTTGCTTTGTGTTAACTTGACTCGAACAGGAACAATAGCAAGTGCACAGTCCTTCCCGGCCCCAGTTGCATCACTAGCTGAAATAATAGCATTGCTTATTGGGGTTTCTTGTTGACCTTTTATTTTATTTTCTCTATTTTGCAGATCTGTCACATTCATGTGTAGCAGAGATGGATGTCTCTTTTGGCATATGTCACACATTAATCTCTTCTTACAGTTTTTACTTATATGCCCCTTCATTAAACATCCGAAACAGTAACCACTTGCCTTCAGAAACTCAACTCTTTTGTCATGGTCTTGAGCTTTTAACATAGGGCATTCATTTAGTATGTGTCTTCCACTGCAAAATCCACATAAAAGGCTGGCAGAAGGATTTGTTATCTGTGAATGTTGTTTACTGCTGTTGGTGTTTGTGTTTACAGGTTTAGTTTGTTGTATGAAGCATCTCAGTGTCGCCATCTACAGTCACAGATGTAGCAAAGCTGCTGTTTTTCCCTTTTATTGATCTCATTGATAAGTTCTTGGAGACCGTGGTTTTCAATATAGCAGCAGTGGGCTCACGTATATCTCCAAATAGCGGATTCAACATGATTTTAGCTTGTTTTTCAACAAATTCAACTAGATGTCGAAATCTGATCCTTGTTTGTGATCTCTGCTGTGTCTCACATGCTGTGGCCCGCCACCTTTCCCGAAGCTTGTAAGGCAGTTTGGACACAATTGATCTCAAGTTGGATGAGTTATCAAGCTCATCCATATACTGAAGATCCTGCATTACATTACAGCATCCTCTTAAGTACAACGCATATGCATGTAAAGCTTTGCCGTCTTCAGGTTTAATTGTTGCCCAGCTCAGTGCTTTTTCCAGATAAGCAGCAGAAATCACAATCTCATTACCGAAATGTTCTTTTATGAGACGTTTGGCCTCAGTGTATCCTCTACTAGCGTCCATATGTAAACAGCTTCTAACAAGATCTCTTGGCAGACCTGTGGTAAACTGCTCCATATAATAAAGTCTGTCTTGATTATTGTTTGTTTTGTCCTCTATCAAATGTTCAAATGCATGTACAAATGACAAATATGAGAGGGGATTGCCATCAAATATTGCTATTTCTCTGGGAGGCAACATTGACAGTTTTTGTTGGGAAATGATGAGTGCAGTGATGTCACTTTGTCTTTGAACAGTTTCATTTGTGTTGTCACGTTCTCTCCCAATTCCTTGTCTTTGTTTGTCTTTGTCATAAACATTGCCTTTATTTGTTGATATTTCACTCTCATTCAGATCATGCTGTTCATTTGATGGAGTATTCATAATTGGGTCCATGTTTGTAAAAACAGATCTTTGCAGTGGAGTTTTGGGAACAGCACCAAGTTGTAGAAATTGGTCCATCTTTGAGCTTTGACTGAGTGCGCTTATTTCCAGAACATTGTCCCTCTTCTCCCGCTGCTCTTCGTAATATTCATTCATTGCATTTCCTTTCTCTCCATCAGATTCTTCTTCTAGATACTTTACTTTTGCATTTGAGGCAGCAATTTTGGCTGCTAGCTCTGCTTGCTCCAGTTTTGTTTTCAGTTTTGTTTCCTCAATTTGCAGACTGTGTTTAAGCTGCAGAGCCTCCGCTTCAGCTAACAAAGCCACTGTTTCTGCTTTGGCTTTCCTTTTTTCTGCATCAATGGAGGAGGCTTTTGATCTTGTAGAATGTTTAGAATGCTTGCTTGAGACATTTGAAATGCTGTCCTGTGGTTCAACTTTTATTTGTGCCAGATATTGTTTTTTCCAGCTAATAACTTCTTTAATAAAGTAGTCCATGTTTGTTTTCCTTGGCTCATACCAGTCAGTGTGTTCCTGTTCCTTTTCTTCTTCTGATAGGAACTTTTGCACAGACTCATGGGCTCTTTGGAACTCATCAATTGCAGCTCTGAATGCCACATAGCTCCTATCAAACACATTCAAATCCACATCTTCACCATCCACCATTAATGTCTTTAATTCATTGATTCTGCGGGTGCAGACTCCCAACCTGGCCTTCCTTGATGCCATACATGCTTTAAGCTGAGCTTCAGCCTCCTCAGCTCCATTTTCATTTTCACAGTCAATCATCTTTGTGACTACTCACAGCTGCTCTTCAGACCCTGCTTTTGCTGCTGTGGTCTTCAATCCAAAAAAAAGCCGTAGATTCCTTTTCTTTTGGAGTTTCAGGATTGTTTTTGTAACTTGTGCTGTCCTTCTGGAGGAGGTTTGTAACTCACAAAATATAAAAAATAAGCACTCGCAGAAATAAAGTTGTCTCTTCCTTTGTTGCAGATTTATTTAAAAAACAAAATTATATTCTGTAGTTCACTTTCTTTACTCTTCAAAACTTAAGGATAATGTGCATTACAAAAACAGTTTCTCTCCTCCTCTCACACACCCTGCTGCACAGGTGACTGCTGTGATATATCTGATTGCAGGGGAGGGGAGCATGACATCATCCCAGTAACCAAAAGGAACAAATAAACATTCAATAAATAATAATTCATAACTGGCTCCAACAGGCGCCGATGGCACATACTGGTTGCCTTGCTTCTGTCAATGTGCCACAGGACAGCTGTGGCTATAATAGTAGTTTTTCACCACAGTGTATGGAGTGAATGAATAACGACATGCGAATCTTCCCTCTGCAGTCCATCTTGTATTTCAGCTGTACTTGAGAACACTGAAGCTGAATAGTGGCTGTGAAAAAGGGGAAAGCAATGGTTGAGAGCGCACAATATGGATCTAAAACAAAAGGACTTCCAGGGTTATATTTCTCCGCAGTTAAACGTCAGCAGAGCGGCTCCACTTCAGAGGGAAGAAAAAGCCCTTTTTCTGTTTATTGAGCGTACACCTCCCGATGTGCAGAGTTCCTGCTCAAAAAAACTCAACAATCCTCATGAGACGCAGGCCTTTGAACTGGTGTGGGGTAAAGTCTTGGAGAAGAATATGAAGCATTATGTTTGATACTTTTAACCCTAAAACATGATCTGGAAGATATCTGTGTTGGCCTTTCATGTTTTAGGCTTTGAAAAACATTATCTTGAAGGGAGAAAATATACAAACATGAAATATTGAGAAAGAGATGACAAGAATGAGCAACATGACGGGTAAAATCACATTCGAGGGTTGGATCAAAATGTATTGAAAAGGTAGGCAATTATAAAGAACATGCCTTGACTGGAGAAATTACCAACATTAAAAAACACTATTAGGAATCGCCCGAATGTAACAAGATGAAAAATACCAATTAGTCATGAGAGAAGGAGAGGTGCTCAGACCACTCAGCCACCGCCGTACCACCAAAAAGCACAAAGTCTATAGTTATGGTATGGCGCCTTGAATTGCACGTTTGAGAGCTCCTCAGATTGGCTTAGTGCTGTTATAAATTGATATTTGACGATAATAAACATGTCACACGCCACAACAAACAAAGCGTGAAAGAACAATAGCGTTTTCCTTCATGATCTCAAAATATGCCCGTCACGATGCAATCTATGGCTGAGTATATCAACATTCAAGCACTAACTCCCAGTCGACACAAATATAATCTACTCGGTTCAAAAAACCAAATCAAGTCTTGCGCTTTTTGCCGATCTTTATTAACTTTATTAACGCTCTATGCACCAGCCCCATGTTGGTGTGAGTGATGGCTTTATACAGAGGCAGGCTCCACGGGCGTCTGCTGTTCCTCGCAGCGTGGGCCATGGTTCTTGTGACATTTACACGGGTTCATCTCCATAGGCCCTGTCTCTCCATCGCACACAAACAAACACACACACACACACAGCCCTCGCACACAAACCTCCCATAGCTAACGCAGAAGCCAACATGTCAAAATCCTTGATAGAAATCCATTCAACAACAAAAAGATGTTGGTCCTTAATTAACGACGGCGTTATTTCCTGTTCTCCTGCGTTGGCATGGAGACGAGGTTGAGATTATTTATAGAGGTTTCTCAAGCCGCACAAGAGAATGGTGCTTTTTGTTTAGCTGCGAACAATGTTGATGTCAGAACATGTGGCAATGGATAAAACTATCACTGATGAGGAGAAACAGGATGATTGTACTTTTCATTTGATTAAAATATAATATAAACAAAGGAGCCAAGGACAAATACAATTACCAGCTAGGTAACTTCAAATAAAGAAGCAGTTTTCCATTTATTTAGTAATATGTGTTGTGACAGTACACACATGATGTCAGTAAGTAAGTAATATTTATTTATATAGCTTTTTTCACAGTCAAAAAGCGGTTTACTATTTTTTTTTTGACCATTTGTCTCTTACTTCACACAGAGATGGAAGTGAGGTGGATGATGCTGTGACTACTGTTGTGATCTATGGCAAAAAAAAAATTTGAACTGCCCCCGAGAGACAGCACACTACAGATGAATGTTAATTACGATTCCATTTAATAAGCTTTTAACGTCATAATTGTTCGCCATCAGCACAATCAAAAGTGGATTCATATACATTTGTTTTCTTTGCATTAATGCAGCACTTTCATATGGTGCTATAAAAACAAGAAAAAGCTTACATTGCGTCATCCATTCACTCTATACGGAGATTGAAGCTTGTAATGTGGAAGCCGCTTTCCCAAAGACTTCACAAGAGTTTTTGTAAGGGCTGAATTAGGGCTATAAAAAAAAAAAAAGTTGAAATAAGTCCAACTTTATTGTCCTTGTAGGGATCTGCATTTGATCCATTCTTCAATGCCGCTAGGACAGTGATGGGCAAACCCTGGCCTGTGTGCCAGATGCGGCCCTTTGGATGTTTCTATCAGGCCCCTGACCAATCTGAATTGCCAATTAACAAACTTTGCATGAGACAATGATAGTGAAAGACTCATCCCTGTCCTCGATTCAGTTTTAATTATCACAATGTAACTTCTCTTCAGCTCTTCACAACGCTACTACCACATTATTGCATTTTAATTCAGTAGTCTACAAGACCAATCTATAGAAACTTGAGATTGTGATTATTCGAGTTTTCCATTTTCGACCCAGCTCTGCTTTGAGAGTGCCACAATCTCGGCCTTGTATAGCACACCACACTTACCTTCAATGCTTTGAAAATGTCACAAACATTAGTTCAAAAACCCCCGCATCTCTCCTTGAATCCATTTTACCTTGTCCCTTGTGGTTGACCTCTTTGGCGGTGATGACTTTGTTGATGACGCTCTGCAGGAAGTCGCTCTCCCCGGCCACCCTGGGAGGAAAACGGGAGATGTTGAGCTGCTTGTGGCGTATGGCGTCATCCAGCGCTAGCCTGCAGTGACCACAACAAGGCGGGCAAGACAGGGCAAGGCGGGCAAACAGGGGGAGGACAAGGAGAAGAGGAGAAAGGGGACAGGATGTAATGGAGAGAGGGGGGGAGGAGTGGAGGAGGAGAGACATGGAGGAGGAGAGACATGGAGGAGTGATGCCAACAGGTTGCGTTCATGTTGATGCCATAACTTTAAAGTAGAGGTCTAAGAAAATCTATTGGAGTCTCATTAGATAACCTTCGGGTCCAAATATTCAACTCATATAAGTTTCGTCTTTCTGCTTTTTATTCAGGACTTCTATCTACTTCAACTGAGATTTTTTTAATGATTTAATTTATTCTATTTACAGTTGTTTTGATGATCGCATATTGAGTGCTTCTTTCATGTGCTCTTGTATTCTGTCTGAATAGAGAGACACAACATGGAAAAACTCACCACTGTGGTTGGTATAAAGAAGGGGTGTCCAACCAGTCCTCAAAGGGCCGGTTTGGCTGCAGGTTTTCATTCCAACCAAGCAGGAGCACACCAGACTCCTTTCCTCAGGTGAGTCCAGTCTTAACCTGACTTGAGGGAATTGGAATTGAAACCTTCACTGGCAGTTTCTGTTATTAAAGTTCTCTAATTGAATCCGATATAGGGATAGACCAATACTTGATAATTTGTTGAAACTAGTTAAGACTAGTTTTTGGCCATGAATGGGTTGTGATTTTTATTCAACACGTTTTAGTATATGTCGATACTGGTGCTCTGGGGTTGGAAGTAGTTTGAATTCCATTGATGAGATATTTATTTTGAATAGGAAGTCAACATTGCAAGAGTTTGAAATTTGTCTTATCTTTCTCTTGTTTTTAACAGAGATATAGTGCTTGAAAGTGTGGCTATACCAATTCAATATAGTTATTGAGTCTTGTGATTTTTTGTGCGTAGCTTCCAACTTCAGGAGGATCAATTAAATCAACTGATCACATGCAAGAGGTGACTTCATCATGGAGTATATATGCAATGCTAGGTTGAAATGAAAACCTGCACATTCCTAGCCTGGCTCTGCCAGACCCTTGTAGTTCCGCCATGCTCCACCAGAGGCGTTTGGCTGAACCACATGGGTCTGGTATCGACGCCTTAGCGAACGCCTTCCCCAGATTATTTTTTATTGGACCAGGATTGCCGGTGTTACGTCAAGCTTCTCTCATGCAGCAGCGAGAGGAATCCAAGATGGCGGACGTAAAGTCCGCAAATCTTTTTAAAAGAGTAAATACGATCGAATTAAGACACGGATATCACTTTTAATGCTATTTGAGGCGAGATGTAGATGGTTCTATGTTGATATATGTGTGTTTTAAGAGTCAAATGTTCCTGTAAAGTTTGGTTGAAGCACTGGTTCAGTGTTCCTGTTTACACACTATGCAGCAGGGTTGCCAGGTTTGGTGGTTACCGCATATTTTTTTCCAAGAGACTTGTAGGTATTAAATAAACAGAAAGACAATAAACAGAATCATGATAGCCCAAGTTAATTACATTACGTTTTTAGCCAAAAAATCATTCTGAGTGTTTTTTTTTTTTGGGTATTCTCGCGGATTTTGGGTTGGAAAATCTTGCTGGGATTTGGCAACCTATGGGAGCCGTGTGCTTCGATGTGAGTGGTTGAAAGCAGACTTCATTCAAGATAACGGGCAAGTGGTCTATCCAATCACATACAAGGTTTTTTTTTACAAGGCCCTGCCTTCTGAAATCCAACCACTATGGCTCAGTACCAGACTCATGTGTGAAGTGCAGCAAACTACATGGGTCTGGCGAGAGTCAGGCTAGCACATTCCGGCCACACCAGCCCTTTCTGGAACCAGTTTGACTCCCCCGCTTTAGAGGAAAGCGAGAAAAGCATTTATAATTCTCCACGGTTGAAACTATGTCATTTCAAACCCTGGAGAAAGCTAAAATACTCTTGTGAACGGAGCTGACATTGAGTGCAGCTATGTCATCACTTGACACAAAACAATATTTGTTAAGAAGTATGAATTTAGAATAACCTGAATTGAGTTACAGCATCTACACATGTTTAGCGTACAATCATTGAATTTTCTTTGACGTCACATGAGCGCAACTTGCCAGACACATACGCACTTGTTAGCGGATCGACAATGAGGCAGGATGGGGACGTGACACACACAGAAATCATTGCTTAGTAAAATGATGAGACTCGGTGATGCATGGTCAGCAGGTGGAGAGGTTTTGACCGGGTCTCAGTGCAATCCAAGCAGAAACTAGGACAACTCCGACTGCTGCACCAAAAATGCATTTAGTCGACCAATTAATCCCCAAAAAGAGCATTGCAGGAGAGTTTGAGCTGGTGCCAATTCTTTAAATTGAGGTAATGATTTAGAAAAGACTAACGCAAGCATCTCTTAGTCTCTTGCACCACACTTAATGACTTGAAACGTGAAATGATTTATGATTGAATGAATGAAGTAAGATATATGGCGGGAATGTGCTCTTCAACAGGTAAAACATCAAAAAAGAAGTTTATTACACGATTAAATTCAATGTAAATATTACTTACAAATGTGAATTGTGAATAATGTGAACCAGTATGAAATAAAACTGGGGAACCTTATTTTCAAAAAGTGAAATCAGACATGTCAGTCTTTTTTGGTTGGTAAATACGTATACCTGTATTAGTTTTACTCTGTAAGTTGAATAACAGACGTATATAGACTTTTGAACGATATCATAATTTTCACCTGTAGTTCTGATTCGCTTGTGCCCTGTGTACTGAAACATAGCAGCAGCAGCTTATACATTATGTACAAAATTAAATTAAAAGTGACAAGGACCCAGGCTGGTTAGTTTCTGAAATTTGGCAAGATCTGGCTTTGACAAGGGGCAGATGTGGTTATCACTGTGGCTATAACAAATGTATTATTATCAAGACACTCGGCAGGGCTTTACAATCTGGAAAACAAACATTTTTTCCCCCGTAATGACATTGATCTCAATTTACAACTTCATGTTTGCAAATAATTTAAATATCAACAAAACAAAACATTTGCAATGACAAAACAAATATTTGTAATCGCCAAACTTAGTTATCTTTGTACTGAACATAGGAGCATCAACTTTATCCCAGTATGCTCCTGAGTAAAGTGAATGCTCTGCTCAAAGACATCAAAAAGGTGTCAACGATGACCTAATCCAGGAGTAAGCTTGTTCAAACTTTAGCCTGGTTAGCATGTCTCGACAAAGGAGTTTTTTTCTTTCATGATTTAATGCGTATCTGTGTCGTTGTTAGTCCCATTAGTCTAACAACGACAGTCCCCCTCAATCACCTCTTCTTTTACATCGACCAATCCACAAACAATAGGACATGAGTGAGACCCATTCTTTATCCAATATCCCTGAGTCATACTTGGAGATAAAGTCGTTAAGAGAGGTGATCTGTCGGCTTAAACCGCCCGAATCAGAAACGTTCCCAATTATGCAGGAAATGGCGTTCAGTAAAAAGGTTACTCGGCCTCAGCACGCTCCGGTCCACGGAATGGCACCACTTAATGAGATTGTCTTAATTGAGTCGCCGGGGATAGTCAGGGCCAGCGCTGTCTTTAAACCACTGCTAATCAGGTGTCAAGGACTTGGGAACTTTGGAGAAGAGAAAGAAGGTACAACTGGAAAGAAATGGTAATACGGCACTAATGTACAATTCAAAATTTTGGATGGAAACTTTATTGAGGTGTCCAGAAGCAAAAGGCTCATCCACCCAGTTTGCAAAATAAAAAAAAAGGTAGGAACGAGTGATATAACAGTGATTGAACCAAACTGTTGTAGATAGATTGTATTGGTTAAATTGAACCTAGAGTCTGTAATGAAGTTGAATTGAATTCATTACATAGTCCAATATGTTAGTGGCTTAGTGGCTGAAAGTTAGGAACCCCAGCTTTAATATGGGTGCTGGCCATGATCTGTATCATCTGGTGCAGTGTGACAAATATTAGATATTTGTAACAGCTGTTAAAAAAGTGCCCATATATCTTTTAAAAGGTGCACAAAGACCCTTTTTCTGCTGGAGAGGACACATTCATAAATCCAGGTGAAGGATATGGCAGTTTTATGCAAAAAAAAAAAGAAGAAAAAGTAACAGTAAAAAAAGAAAAAGTTTCAAAAAGATTCATATTTGAGAGTATTTTCTGAGAATAGATTTTATTTTATAGATAATTTCTCCACAATTTTTAAATGCATTACTATATATAAGACGTAGAGTGAGTGTATATGTCCAACCTGCTTGTACTCCGATATAAAGTTATAGCTATTCCCTTCCCTCTAAGACATCTTCTTATTTCTGAGACCCACATTACCACTGTAAATTTAAAATACATTGTACGATTATAACTTCTCATTTCCACCCTGGTTCCACTCTTATTAGGAATAGGGTCGAAGATAGGAAATTGACAGCATGCATGATACAGTATAATAATAGAAATGAAATTGGTGGAGATATTCACTTACGGTTGAAAAGGAATAAAGTGCTGCTTGTCCTCGTCGTCCATTTTCCCGGTTATTATGTCAGTGACGTCCATTACTAAGAAAGCAGAGGAAAAAAAAAAACTAATCAGTCGAAATTTGGTGCTTTTTTCATAAATAAGAATAGCATCATATTGTATTACAGCCATAGTCACCGTCTCATGGGAAATGTGGCAAGGAAATAGACATAAAACAGACATAAAAATTGCATCAGTTATCAATGAGGAACTGCCAGTATGAACTCTATTCTTCAGCTAACGTTTTTACATACTTTATGTATTTTGCTATTGTTTCAAAAACAGAAAGTCTTGAGAAAAGTGATCTAAAGATGTGACAGAGGAATAAAACAGTGAGCAAAGAGAGAATATAGGCGACTGATACAGCTTGGATTTATCACTGTCATAGTTGCAAAGGAGTGAAACATTTCCAATGAATTTCCAGAAAGTTACCGGTATATTTCCATGGGATGTTAAGCTATAGGAATAATGGGAATTAATAGAACTCACAGGGAATTAATTGTAATAACATACATTTTTATCATATCATATCATGTTTTAATTTAATTTTGAGTGATTTTAATATCTAAATGCTTTTAGTTGTGTTTTTAATGGTGAGTTTGGAGTTTTGTTTTGGTGATTTGTTCCTTGTGTGATGTGGACAGTGAAGCGCTTTGTGTTGCCCTGTTCAACAAATAAAGATTGATTGATTGATTGGATCCAAGCATAAATATGAACAGAAGTCATAAGAAAACTTCTACCTTATCAGCTTGCTATGTACAAGATTGGGGATCGCGAGCTGTGATCTACCTCGGAGGGGTAGAAATTGCCAAAAAAGAGGACCACCCTCACGCAGCTCTTTTGTACAAGGATGGAAAATATCACATGATTTCTAAAATGATGGAGACGGCATAATGTGGTCTGATTGATTCACAGTAGAATACAAGACTTCATCTAATACAAGATGAAGTATACTATAAATGCCAATCTTAGTAATACAACATAACATTGGCATTTTGCTGTAATGATAAAAATTGTTTACACAAGCTACATAAACAAAACCTCTCGAATGCCTCTAACTCCACACTCTGTCTTTAGATCCTGCTGCATAGACGCGACTCCGGTTCCAAATAACAAGCTGAACTCCTATCGCTTTAGGGCACGCGCACACCTTAGCGCACATATCCCTGACAAGCCACGCATCAAAACCATGACACTTTTACCAAAAAAAAAAAAAAAAAAAACCTGACGAGAAAAAGCCAAATATTTCAAATCACGCTCTTCCTGGAGTCAAAGTGGAGCAGATATTGAGATAATGATGTCTGCAGATATGCCAAGATAATCCAGCTTGTCATTTACCTGCATTAGGAAAGAATTAAATGGGACGACTGCAGTGTCTGTTTGGGGCAATAAGCCAATCTAATTATATGGAATGGCTGGTACGCGGCCAGAAATAGATAAACCCGACTAATTTCAACGCTTTAGGTTGAAATCTCATTGTTATGGCTCAATGTATTTATTCATCCAGACACTTGCTTGGCACAAAGTTACTGTGAAAAACACAGAGGAATGTACGGGGCACAGGGTTATAACTATAACTTTGGGAGAATAAGACTGGGAAGCGAATAGACATTTTCAGAAGTGATATTTTCAGAGATATTGTTAAAAATAATATTAATGCATTGATTTTATATAGCGCTTTTTTTTGAAAATGCAAAGAAATGACATTATGTAAGTAAGTAAGTCATCTTTATTTATATAGCGCCTTTCACAGACCAGCGTCACAAAGCGTTTTACAATTCATTGTGAGCATTTGTAGGAAATGAATGAACGAATTTGTCTCTCACTCCACACAGAGATGGGAGGTAGGTTGCCAGTACAGGAGGCACATGCCAGACCTATTGTACATGTTTTTTTTTGTGGTGAGGGAAACCGGAGCACCTGGGGCAAACCTACGCAGACACAGGGAGAACATGCAAACTCCACTCAGTTCCGACCGGGATTCTAAACCAGGACCTTCTGCATTATACATTATTCATTCACTGCTACTACTGCTGCTGCTACTGACTCCGATGTGTGTGTTATGATTGCATTTCCTGTGGTTGGACTGGTTGATTCTCTGATCTGTTGTTGGATTGAATTACCTGCCACTCCGAATGGCCTCCTCAGCCCAGATGTCAGCTTCTTGGTGTTGTTGTCCCGTAGCTCCATTCGTCCCACTCTCACGATCTGACAAACAAAGCTGATCTTTTCCCTCTTCAGGTCTTCACTGCCCAAGTCCTGCACAGAAACAACAAGTAGTTTAATAAAGTAGTGAAACGCAGTCATCGTAGTGGCTTTTTTACGTGGAATTTTGAGGAGGAAGAGGAGAATCAAACTGGTCTAGAGGTACGGACGAGTTACGTGGATTTCAAACTACATAGTTACATTTGTTGTTGTTTGAAAGTCACAAACCCTAGCTTTAATTTCATGGTTAAGCTTATATACATACAATCCAAATCTACAAAAAGATTACATTTGTATTCTTGCACCGCACACTCGCCACTTCCTTCTTTTGATATGTTGTAAAGAACTTTTTTTTTATTCCAGGGTACAGAAACCAATTTTCTCTTGCTCTTGTACAATATGTAAATGTCCTGCCTTTGCTTCCAAAAACATATCGAGGGATCACGAACACGCCGCTTGTACAAAATCTCTCTGGAGTTATTGAAGATGCACTTGACTTCCTGCTCGGCCACAGATCCACCGCGGCAATAAAAAAAATCCCCAAACCTTTTAAAGGGAGAAATAACTGTATTAAGAGAAATTGCTTCTGCGCCATTTGCTTCAATATCTGCAAATCCATTCCCGGTGGGCAATCCCGAATCCGTGGTCCTGGATGAACGGTCGGCAAAGCGGGTGAGAGATGACCCCTGTGTCCTTGGGCTTTCATTAGACAGAGGTGAGTGGCTCAGTAAATGCAAACAGCGGAGAAGGGACCCAGCAAATAGTGCTTCTGCAAACACTCCCACGAGAATCCCCAACACGCCTGAGCAAATAGTGAGCAATGGTTTTCAACCTGTGGTGCGAGGACCGAGTATAGAGGTCTGGTTTATGCTAAATTTATTCCGGGTTTTTTTAAAGTTTCATCTAAAAAACATTGCCAGGATCAAAAATACAGTGTCTAAATCAGACTTTGAGATTCTTATCCTGCAATTGTCTCCAGTAGGTTAGACTACTGCAACGGCAAACAAAGTCTCCAAACAAGTTGTAAAAGTTTCTGCAGTAGATTCAAAACGCTGCAGCTCGAGTCCTGACTGACGAGAACCAGGAATTACGATCGCATTAGTCCAGTTCTCATGTCTCTGCATTGGCTTCCTGTGACTCAGAGCGTAGACTTTAAATCAGCTGTGTTTGTATACAAGTCTCTCCATGGCCCCGCACCAAAGTACATCTGTGACATGTTAGTGCCATATTATACAACTGGGACTCCTGCTGGGACTCTGAGGAGCACAGGGACTTACCTCCTGCTGGGACTGTGCATATACACCTGAATTAATTGTGGAATTTTGGCACAAAACCTAAAAACGAGCTCTCACCGTGAACACAGAGCGGAGGTTGTGGAGTTGATCGATGTCTTTAACTAACCCAGAGCTGGACCATTTCACCAGGTAGTTCTCACTGCAAGAGAAACATCTACTTTAGAGCACACTTAAATGTCAAGTTTACAACAACAAAATCATGATATGACAAGAGGACAAAAAATAATTGCATTTTGAGAGTGAAGAACTTTGAAACCTCAGTATTTTTTCCAGAACATTATTTTTCCAAAACTACCATAACATGGTCAAAAGAACAGTCCATTTCACATGTTGTGTCCCCCTTGATGATGATGCCAGCTGCAACTTCAATTGTGTATTACTTATAAAAGAATGTATATTTCTGATCACTGTACTAATGTGTATAGAAAGTATAGAAAGTTCTGAACCACCTCGCTTTAAAAAATGTATAGATTCGATAAAACATTTCTACAGAAATGAAGAAAGGTTGTACGAAATGAAAGGTAAAAGCGACATTTTCAAATCGAGGTGGTCAGCCTTTAACCAAATCCTAACAAAGACAGAGGGGTTTTATTCATCATCATCATCATCATCATCTTAATAATCTGTTATTTGCTTTTTTGGCCTGGTTTACTGTGAAATGTGTATGCATGTG